GCTGGCGGTTGAACTGACAGGCGATCGGAGAGCTCCGCTTCGAAGGCCGATTTGCATGAATCACTGACACTGTACCGCGGATATCCGTTGTCGGTGGCTTTCTGGCGGTTGTTTGCCAGACGTAAAGAGAATTTCGCTAGTAGCAAACCGTGATCCGTAGGCACAGATGTGGACCAGTAAGAGCGGCAGTCTTGAATTGATCCCCTCCAACGGTAACTGATGGCGATGTGGTCAATCTGGGTAGAGCGCAGTGAAGAGACTGATGGTTTTCATGTAAGGCGGTGTCGTTTCTTGTGCGAGAAGTTCGTGTTTGACAGAAACAATCCGTGGTCCGTGCAGAGTTAAAGAAGTTGATGATCTCCGTTGTCCGTCCGGTTGGCTGGGATTGCATGTGGTCCACCAAGAAGCCTCTCTGATTCGTCCAGGGATTCTACTTGAGCATTGAAGTCTCCAACGGCTACGACGATGTCCGTTAACCGAGCGCTTTGGAGCAGTTGGGAGATATGCTTGTAGAATTAATCCTTCATTTCCGGTGCAATTCCATCTGTCGGTGCATACACCGATACAACGAATAAACACCAACGTTTCGTTCTGTAGCTGTTGACCCATGCTGCGAAGACTCTGATGATGGGCTATATCTTTGTGCCTCCGAGACATTGGCTTCTGGTACATTGTTAAATACGTTCTTCAAAAACTAAGAAGAGATGGTACTGAACACCTTTCCCTTTCAGAGCGATGAAGGGGCTCAGCCGAATCACTTTTACGGAAGGGTTCAAAGCATCATACGGGAAAAAACCGATTGGTTCGCAATTCGATCCCTCTTAAAAAGTGGATACCCAAGCTCCAAACAGTTCCATCATCAACAACTACTGCTTCCAAGTTAAGCGGTTTCTCTTTGGGATTAGGAACCTGTTTAGTCTCTCCTTGCAGCAGTTGGTGGCTTTGCAAGCCAAGCTTGCCCTATTTTAAGTTTTGACGTTGAGTTCTGCTGTTCCGATCCATTCCCAACATGCATTAAAAAGAGAGAGTTCAACCTGTTCAGAGCAATAAGAAGCCTTTACAGTTTCATGTACAGAACCGAAAATCGCATGTTGTAGTGAAACCATGTTCGAGACGAACATAAAACAACCCTTTCCTAAACCGGAAGGACGAATTCTGTCGTGATTCTTCCGATTAGCCTCGAAACATGTTAAAATAATCCTGACTGTTACTGAACAGTTCAATGCCCAAAGGGGTGGGTTGGGGTGGGGCGATGGTGTCCAAAATATTGCGATCACATCGATCAGTTGTAACAGTATTGGTGCTGATTTGTCCAATAATTTTCCCGTTTCACAATAGTTGATTCTTAAATGCCTTTATTTTCCCCCAATGGTATTCTTCATATTTATTTTGTGCATCTTACGGTGTCTAATTATTTCGAAATATATCGTAGCATCTGAACCCCCCCCCATAAACACGTTGAATTATGTAAATATGTTTCCACTTATTCCACTCTTATATCTAGCATCAGAACTGACGAATACTGTTAACTTCCTGTGTACTATTGATGTCGCGTATTTGTTGTGTGTACACTTTCTTGTTGCCATACTGTATGTTATGTGGTGGGTTATTATATCCCCTCTGGTATATGAAGTACTTGAAAATAGGAGAGATAAATACCATAATAAATTGGAACTTTTGTTCCGTCATAGAAACTAAACAACGAAGGCTTTGATTAATTAACCACTTTAAAGTCTCAATGTATTGGTCAAGTCAGTCAATCAGTTAGTCAGTCAGTCAGTCAGTCAGGCAGGCAGGCAGTCAATCAGTCAGCCAGGCAGTCAAAAACAACCGCGGTTTCACTTCAGTGCAACTGATAAAATCGAAGTAACCGTTGTCCCAATGTGTACTTGTTAGGTGTCGAAATGAAAAGCTAATCAGAACAAATATAATCCGCAATTACATCACAAATACTTTCCAAGATCAGAGGGACTTATCAAAGATTTTCCGTTTTCACTTTGATAAATTAACTGCCGACTAACTTCCGGTTTCGATCAAGGTTGGGTGCGCACATGTATGACAAATGCGGTTAGTCTGCTGTATCAGAATTACGTGACAAATAAAAATACAAATATTTTGACAATCAGTATCCTCATGTCTCGCTTCATTTATCGATTGAATTCGTTATCCGCTTCATCAACATCATCATCACCACTTCTAATGGGTGTTTGCTTCATCCCATTTTTGCTGAAAAATACAGACCGGTAATCTCTCGACTCCGAACACCGAGTCTCAATCCAAAAGCTATTCGACGTATTGAATTGATCCTGTCACGGAAACTGGGTCTGGCTCCCGATGATATTTTTGATGCGCATGCCTTGCTCCAGTCAAGGGATCTAAAAGCACTGGTTAGTAGTCGCTGGGATGTAGGCGGTTTGAATAAATCCGGCCCGGAATCCAACACCGAGACAACTTTCGCCACACCCGCTGCCGTAACACAAATGAACCGTAAAGATGGAGATAAACGAGATACTGAAGAGTTCATGGTCAAGACCTATACAGGATCGGCCACCTTCTTGAAGGTAATCCCTTGTACCACTGATATATTCATGTTTTGTTGTCTACTGTTCAGTTCATGATTTGCTCGAGGGCATGATACGCCTAGGTTAATCATGTGAATTTTCTTGACTAATTCACAACCGGACCCGCAAGACAGCGGGGTGGTGTGAAAACCGCAATCCATTGGGGGCCGGTGTCCAGTTCATCGGATCATACGCCCTTTAGAGGGGTCAAACGTATGACGGTAGTAGTAGACCAAAACACCTGCGTGGTGCACACGTCATTTGACTGAAGCTGGAAAATGGCTTATACTGTGTCACATTTGGCTTAATTCTATCCATGTAAGAGGATCTCGTGTGTTTGACATTGTCAGGACAAATGAACATGTCATATGTGTGTCATACCCTTTTTCTTGTTTATATTTGCTGCTCCACTTTGGAAAAAGCTGCACTAACAAATGATTGCTACATGAAGAGATTGGGCAGATTGGGTATTTGTCGTGTGCGCCTTCTAATGGGAGGGAGGGGGAAGCTCATGTGGTTCGCCACTTCAAGTCCCGGAGCTTAGTTGGCCCGTATCCATAAGTAGGCAATCCTTTTGCTCTCGTCCGGCTCACTGTCACGCTCTATCTGTTGAGGCCTCACGTGGTTGACCACTCAGGATTGGGTTGCCGGTCTTCTCTCATACACACCACAGATGAAAAAATACAACAACTCATGCGAATCAAAGAATGCACACTCTCTTCTTTCGATCGTTTATCACACAATAGTATATGATACAATAAATTTGTAATATTTCTGATTTGGGATCTCAAAATTCTCAAAAATCACGTGGAGATTAGATCGGTGTTTGGAACAATAATCATAGTATGATCGCATTCTTTTTATTGAATAGACAATTATACAGGTTTTTCTGAAAAGAAGCTGCTACTGATCGAAGGCTATCTGGCGACATATGTAATTTAGATGCTGATGGTATGATTCAAACATCAAATTGTCGAACAGCTCTAATAGTAACCTGCACCGATTCACTACAACCAAACTCAGAACTGTATGCATGCAATTTTCATAATCTGTTTATTGATTAAGATTGTGTGTAAGAGAATAAAGAGGGAGAAACCATCATGTGTTATCTTTCCTTTGATCTAACTACACACTTCAGTTGATTTGGTGAAGGCGTATCGTCAATGTTATCGCCCATCGTCCAAACTAGCAACGATTTGCAAAATCGTTTTTCGTTTTACAGGCAACTTTTAGCTCACATTTGTCGCAGTTCGCTTTAGCCGGCTTCACACGCCTTCACATAATCTGATTCGAAGTTTTCAGTCGTCCAGTACACTTTTCCGCGGAATATAAATTGTTTCCGATCTACTCATTGTTTCGTTGTATCATTTGGTCGAACTGTCAGTGCGTGCGTTTCGTTTTTCTCCTATTCTCACGGACACTGAGTGAGACACAATATGAAATACCCTTTTTCTGTCCCATCCATTTTTAACCGATCAGGGGACTCAGAGTGCCAATCCGCACAACGATTATTGTCAGCATTTCGTGGACACCGGGGAACGACCACAGAATTTTATCCGTGACACAGGTACGTCGGTTTTGAGTGTTATCTGTCTCTAAGCACAAAAGTGTCATAGTTATTACTTCCGTAATTGGATTACCAATTTGACGCTTATTGTTGGGTTCTTAATACATGATTAATCCGTTCCACCAGGTCATATATACATATTGTGTTCCCTCGCAGGGTTGTCATCCCAGAGCAGCTACGAATAGTAGAAAACAGGAATATTTGGTGTGATGCAAGCAAATGCATTGTTCTATTCAATGCCTCCCAAATATGACCTCTAAATGTTTTCCTTTTATTTCGTATTTGATTCGTTGCTATGGAAAAACGTGTACGACATAACCGTTCATTCCGGATACGCTAACAGCTACCTCTCATTACTGTCTGTGCTGTATTCGTCTCATCAGTGCACCTAATTGCATGCATGAAATGGTGAGGGAGGGGGGGGGGGAGGAAGACCGTGCTCTGTTCCGTATTCGTGCACCCCACAGCGTAGCGGTCATCAGTGCGTGAATCATCTTTGTGAATGTGAACACGGTTAGACACAAGTATCCAGCCGATTTCACCCCGGGGTGTTGCCTGACATGTAAAGTTCCCCGGATTAACCAACCTTAATATTCTGCACCTTTTCTTTATATGCGATGTATATTGCGATCGCTTCTCTAGTTTCGACAATTCCGACCTGTTCGATATGTGGCATTTCCATCCATCATGCTGTTTTGACAGAGAACGGAAGACAGTAGTGTTATTGTCAGAATTGTCATCGTTATTATCATTAGACAACGTAATACAGTGAGGGGAACCTCACTGATCACCGCCCAACTCATAATGTATGCAGGGGCAGCGCGAATCTGTAAGGAGGGTAAGGATTGGGCCTATTTTTACGGACGGGAAAAGAAAGCGAACCTCTGTGGTCAACATGCAGAATACGCAGTCCAACTCTGCATACATACCATTTCAAGCATTCTGGCCTGCTAAGAAATGACAGCGTGACCGCCATTACTGTCGGTTCGCAGCCATGACCTTCAGGATCTCCGATCATACGGTTTCGGAGTCTTTTGGACCCCAACCCGGAAGACAAAAGACACGTACTCTACCTAATCGCTTTGCGCATTTCTGCACCTACTCTACCGAAATAGATTCAATGATAACCTAGCCTTAACTTAATTTTTGCGTAGTATGGCCACATAAGTTGATCTTAACGGTTCTCTTCCCTGTATGTTATGTCATGGTAACAACTGTCGGACTGAAAATTCCAAAGACACTATTTGGTATCTCCCTTTATTGTCGAAGACAGTTGACTACACAATCTAAGATATGCTAAACTACTTGAATCCTAATAAGTAATTTTATTGAACTTACCTGTTTCATATTGTTTTCCTAGGACGTAAAGTAAGCTGTGGAACCGGGTGTCATAGTTCTGATGAATCGTCATTGATGTCATTCGTACGACTTGCTTCCGATAAGATTGTGTTCCATTCCTCCCGCTACCTTGCGGGTCGGATTTTTGAGTCGAAGGCTCCGGTTAGGTTTCCCAAAGAAAATCCCCTTCGTCAGTGTGGGCTACCGCGAATTATGCCGTGCTGTACGATGATGATGATGATGGTGCCGTGCACCAAAGTCTTGGGTACCCATTTGGAAAACCATCTTCCTCATCTACCCACTTCCTCTTCTCACTCCCAAACCCCAGGAGATTTATCCTCGTCAAACGATGATTTGGTATGAGGCTATGAAAACCCTAACCAGGTCACATAGGTCCCGTAAGGCTCCCTGGCTGGGGACTCAGAGATCATAGTCACCGATAGTTAGAGACACTGAGCGATATGGCTGGGTGTCGCAGACAGTGGCGCTCATGCATCTACTCATTATTCTTGCAACCTCAATCTATATGGATTTTCTATCTTCCGCTTGAATCTGCTCTCAACATTCTACTCTTTTATTCAAATGGGTAGCTAAAAGACAACAACCAAAACCGGCGCACGACGATGCAACGGTAATGCTTGTAAAAACTGAAACTGTGTTCCATTCGGTGCAAATCTCACCATTTCATCTTTTCCCCGTGCACACAAAGGTTTGCGCAATCGATTCGAGGAGTACCCGAAACTGCGCGAACTGATCCGACTAAAAGACTCGCTGATCGAATCCCGGACCACTCCACCGATGTATCTCAGAGCCGATCTGAAAACGTTTGACCTAAATGAATTACAGTCCAAATTTGATGTGGTTCTCATTGAACCTCCACTTGAAGAGTATCATCGAATGACCGGGGCTGTGTTCGATCAGCACTGGACGTGGTCTGAGGTATGTTTTTTGGTGTTGTTACCAATCTTTTCACGTGATCAATTCTCATGACGATGCTTCGTGTCTCAATATTGTTCTCAAGATCATATTGTTTGTTAAACTCCAAGTCGGATGGTCTGTCTCATGATCGCGCGTGTGTAACTCGCCCGGTCCCACATCCGGGACACGTTTCACTGTTCTGTTCGATCGCTGCCTAAATCACAATCGGGCTTTTAGCACAGAACCACCGGCTTGAAAACAAGCATGGTGCCAACGCAACAACAATGACATTGAAAGGGGATAGGTGGATTAAGATACAGAACATGGTGAAAACTGGGTGAGACAGTTAAACATGGAAAATACAAGATAAAAGAATTTTTTGTGTGTTTCACCGTACACCTTTCGCAATGTTTGTTGTTGTTTGATGTTTCGTTTTTCTTAAGGGGCACGGGATTTCGATAGACAGATCGTACAGCATTCGCGCCACTGACTTCTATTCTGCGCCATATCTCTCAGCGTCTCTAACCATAGACAATCCTCATCCCTTGGGC